GAGGGCAAGGGAAATACAGAATGGATGGTGGAGGAAGGTAGTTCTGAATATCAGCTACGACCACGTGACCAACTGGAGAAACGAGGACTGTGACTGTTATATTTCTTCATTGCATATGTGCATCAGATATTTTTATTTCCTTCTGTTGTGAACTGTGAAATGTAAATAAGGTTAATGGCGTTTCGGTTGTACGTGTGTTAGCGTATCATGTTAGGCACAAATATGCTTTATAATTGTCCTTTTTTAGAGATCATATATGGTTAAGAAGATTTGTACAACTGCCAAGTTGACAAGGGGTGGACTGATATTTGGAGCTGTGTGTCAACTTGGCTGGACCACAATTCTGTGTTGTTAGAGGTGATGTGGTGTGGTTGTTCCCATGATGGGATCAGATGATTATGTTTTGAGTGACCAATCTGTTTAAAGGGAGTTTCCCTAGGGGTGTGGCCTGCTTCTAGTATCTGAAGAGGAGACATTCTTCTGTGAGTCAGGATTCTGTTGTGCTGCCTACAACTGTCCATGTGTGAACAATCCACCATTTGGCCTGGAGATCTTTGATTCATCATTCATTGGAGTCAGCAGCCGGTGTACTGCCTGCCAGCCTTGAGCTCCTCAGCCCCTGTGGCTGAAAGAGTCAGGAATAGCCTCCAGCTTGACATGGAAAAGCTTCAAGCTTCACATTTGTCCAGGAACTTTGGACTTGCCAGCTTCTATAAGTGTGTGAGCCATTTTCTTAAGATAAATTTCTCTGTATATACATGTATATAAACTTTACTGGTTTTGTTTCTCTAGAGAACCCAGTCTAACACAGTTACTTTATGCTGCTGTAATAGAAAATACCACAAATGGATGGTTTTAACAAACAGAAATTTGTTCTCTAACAATTTTGGAAGCTCAAAATCCAAGTTCAAAGTGCCAAGCTCTAGGGCTATGTGAAAGTCCCTCAACTTTGGGCTTCAGCTCTGCCTCTTGCACCTAGCCCACTGAAGCTAGAGGCTTATTTTAACTCAGGAAGCTGCTGACTCCTGAGGCTGGCAAACTCAAGGTCCACAAGTAAAAAGGCACAGCTCTGAGATTATCAAAAAACATGGCAGGCTACTAGTTCAAGTCCAGAAAAAGTCCCAGGATCAGCAGGGCAAGATAGGCTGATAAACAAAGACCCTACATGTAGGATCCAAGTGTGCCAAAAAGCTGCAGAGACCTTTCTCAAAATTTCTCCTCATACACTGGAAGCAAAGCACATCCCTAAGACAGCTACTGCTGCTCCAGTAAATTCCACCATGGAGTTGATTACCAATCTCATCGTGGGAAATAACTATAACCGGCTGCCCAGCCACTCAAAACCAGGCCCAGGCAAGTTGACACACAACTTAACTACCACAAGGCCTTTCTCCCATAGTGCTAGTAGGTGAGTTTGAACCAGTTAGCAGCTTAGAGCATACCATTTGCACCACCCAAGGACCCTGCCACGTGGTCCTGTTGTTAGGTGCTATTTAATCAATGCCAAACTCATAGCAACTCCATGTGACAGAGTAGAACTGCCCTATAAGGGCTTTCTAGACTGTAATCTTTATAGGAGCAGATTGCCAGGTCTGTCTCTCTTAGAACTACTGGATGGGTTCAAACTGCCAACATTTTGCTTAGCATTTGAGCACTTAACTATTGTGCCACCAGGGAGGTGCTAGTGCCTCTTAAAACATGATCTAGTACAGAGATTCCCTCAGGTTATTCATAACAACTTACAGCCCTTGCTCCTGTCTTCACCCCAAAGCCTTTTCACTGGTCACCCACATTCTGAAGGAGACTCATGGGAGCAGTGGGAGACCACACAGACAACTCAGGTTACTCTAGAGGGCCATGTGGCTCACACCCAGAAAAACAAGATATTCACCTACATCAGGAAAGTTAGGTCCTTTTGTAATTAGCCAGGGGTTGGACTAACATATGTGAGTAGCATTTGGTAGAGAAAGACAATGATCTTGAGCACCATACCATTTAGAGAGGTAAGGGACTAATCATGGGACAGGGAAGATTCATAAACTTCTGTTGCCTTATAACAAATATTTTAGAGTCAGAAGCTATCCGGGGCTTTAAGCTTTGCTTTCTCATTTCATTAAATGAGTAGGAGCCATGGCTTATTGGAGGTTTGGGTTGCCGAGTCAACCTCCCTTTTTAAAATTTTCTTTTGAGATAATTGTAGTTTTAAGAAATAATACAAAGAAAAATAATATAAAGAGATTCCTATAATCTTTTACCCACTCTGCAATTCCCCCAGTGGTAACATCTTTCATTGTCACAACTGGGATGTTGACATCAGTGTAGTCAAGACACAGAAAGAACACTCCCATCACTATAAAGGTCCCTGAGGTTACATTTTATAACCACACCCCTCCAGCTGACCCTTACCCTCCCGTTAACTCCTGGCAACCACTAATCTCTTTTCCTTTTCTATAACTTTATCACTTCACATATGTTACATAAATGGAACTTATGGTTCGTAACCTTTGGGGACTGGCTTTTGCATTTGATACAGTTCTCTGGAAGAGGATTGATTCCAGGTTGCTACCTGCATTGCTCAGTAGTCTGTTGCATTTAGGCAGTGTCTAAGGCATTTGAGTGCTAACCAGAAGGTTGGGGGTTCAAACCCACCAGCCACTCCATGGAAGGAAGATGGGGCAGTCTTCTTCTGTAAAGGTTTACCACCTCAGAAACCTAATGAGAGTTGCTATGAGTCAGAATTGAGTCAGTGGCAGTGAGTTTGGTTTGGTTTGAGTGTTCCATAGCACGGATGTGCCACAGTTTGTTTAGCCATTCACCCTTTGAAGGGCATGTGGGAGGTCCTGCTTAAAATAATTTGAATAGCAAGCCATTGATTTCTAAGCTCCTTGTGTACATAATAAATAATCTAGAGAAAGCTGACAATACTGATTGCCCATGGTGTGACTGGCAGTGTCTAGACTCCTCATACACAGTTCACACGGGTCAGGGGCTCTCAGCATATCCAAGCAAGCCTTCTGGTGGGAGGATGGGAGCTCAGTAAGACTTAGATGAATGGGTTTGGCTCACTGGGAGGTTAGCTACTCATTTTGATTTTCTAGTTCATAGGTGATAAAACTGTGTCTTGTGAACACAGTGAGGTCTGACATAAAAATGTCTTCCCTTCACTATCTACTTTATATATTTTGACGTGAATTGAAAAATACATATTTAAACACCATTCCTAAAATGTTTTTCCCTCTTGGGAGATGCCATGCTGATTTCCAAGCTAGTGCCCTGCCAATAAGAATTTTATTTTCACTCGTTGTGTGACCCATAATGTGGTAGGCAAGCACTGTACAGGGAGCCAGATGTGAGCATTCCCCACCAGAGTGCTCACGTGGCTGGGAGGAGAGGATCAAATAGAGCCAGGGATGCTGGTTCTCACCCCTCTTTTCTGTAGGCGTTGCCTGCTCCCCTCACTCTGAAGTGTCCTTTGTAAAAATTGCCACTTGGGAAGACTGTGGATTAGTTATAGTTAAAACAAAAAACACAGACTTTAAAGCCAGGCAGCTCTGGCTCACATCTTGGCTCTTCCACTCTCTTTCCCTCTTTCCTCTAACAAACATTTATTGAGTGCCTACTGCATGTGAGCCTGGGACACCAGCAGTAATCCCAATAAATGAAGTGCCCTCATGGAAAATATATTTTCATTGACTAGTTATATTTCACACTTATGTGATTTTGGACAGCTTAGTTCATCCTTTTTGACCTTGTGTTGCACATTGTAGAAGGAAGACAATGACGTTTACCTCATGGGGAGATTCTAAAAATTTTAAACAATGTACTGAAAGTGTTTGAACAGTGGCTGCCTCAGAGTAAATACTGAACACACAGAAATTCTGTCTCCATTTCCCTCAGTTCCAGCCCTGCCACTAACTCTATGTGACCTCAGACCTGCCTGTTACCTCTCCAGTCCTCATTCCCTGCTGATACACAGAGAGGACCAGACGTGACCACCTTTTAGGTTCTTTCTAGCTCTTTCATAGGAGCCTTGGTGATGCAACAGTTAAATGCTCAGCTGCTAATCAAAAGGTTGACAGTTCATACCCACCCAGCAGCTCCATGAGAGAAAAACCTGGTGATCTGCTCACATAGAAAATACAGCCAAGAAAACCCTATGGGGCAGTTCTACTCTATCATGTGGGGTCAGTGAGTTGAAATCCACTCAAAGGCATCTAACAACAATAACAACAACAACTCTTTCATGCTGTGATTTTCTGGCTCCCTCAAGTTATTTTCCCTAGAACTTAATTCAGGTCTCATGCTGTTTATAACAAGCACCCTGAAACAAGGCACTCCATCCAGTATAACAGGAAACTGGAAATAACGTGGGAGGATTACTGGAATGCTCTGTTAAAGAAATTAATTGCAGTAGTCAACACTTCTGATCAAAATAAATTAAACTGACAACAATGTGATTAAGATGTTTATGTACAAAGGAAGTGTTGTTGTTGGTCATGGAAATTCCTTGGTATGGGGCTTTTGATGAACATATTTAACCTCTGCTTAGGTCTTATTTGTTTTTGAGACTACTTCCTACTCACCCACCCACCCACCCCGCTTTGGATTCTATCAACTGGTTTGTTGATGGTTGAATTCTGAGCATTTAATCCAGTTACATGAAAGTAGAGTTAACCTTTTTAGCAAACATCTCACATGTGCATGTGCATGTGCATGCACATCTAGAGTACTCCATTGGAGTCTCCCTCAAGGAAGAGTTAATAGACTCAATAGAGTTAAACTTTGTTACTAACTTTTTAAGCTTAGAAATGTTTTCAGAGTTTAGAAGCTAGAGCTCACTTAAATTCTCCAAGAATATCCCATTTTGATCATCCCGTAAGAGTCCTGTTTTAGCTCCCAAATTATATTGCTCAAAGTGGCCAGAACCTGAAATTCTGCAAACCACAGAGAGGATACAGAGCTTCAAAGAACGTAACCTTATGCTCCTTTTTCTTTTTCAGGCAGTGTCTCCCTGGTAATTTATTACAGCCTGCTACATCCAAAGTCCACAGACATCTGGCAGGGCTTCATAAGGAAGTCCTGTGGCATTGCAGGTGGTGATAAAACAGAGAGTGAATCTTCTCTCAGGGCTGCAGCCCCAGCTGGGGAGAGGTTGGAGAGCCCAGACTTGTGCCAGGGGGAAGGCTCTGAGTTGACATGCCTGGGGACATCCCCCAGCCTACAGTGGGGCCCTTCAGAAGCTGGTCTGGGAAGTCAGGTTGTTGAAGAGGACTCTTCCCTAGGACACCACCACTGGCTGTTGGTGAAACTTGCCTTAAAAACTGGAAATGTGTCAAAGATCAATGCAGCTTTTGGAGGTGACAGTACTGGCTGTTTTTACCCCACTGCATGGCAATTGAGTCAACACTATACTCAACAAAGAAAGCCTTTCTTTTGCCAGCAAGAGTTCCCATCATCACTGCAGGAAACCCAAACCTCAGAGAAAGTCTTTGAGGTTGAACATGTCCCCAAAGCGGAGGCTGAGCCTTTGGAAACCTCAAGTTACATCTCTTTTGCCAGTGATAATCAGAATAGTGCACCTACCCAAAACTTGTCAACTACACAGGAAGGAGCTGTGGTTTTGCTGTGTGAAGCCATAGCCCCTGGAGCCCAGGGAAGGTGTATGAGTGGGCAGTCAAGAGGAGGGGAGGGACAGGAGGGCTCCACACTATACTTCAGCGCCATCATAGAAGGGCCCACATCCTTACACCAAGAAGGCAAGGTGTCTCCACCGATGTCCCACTCTGGAAGGTGGTTGGGGAAAAGCAACCCTGCCCAGCCTGCCTCACCATATCCAGTGGCTAAACCCTTTCCTGCTACTATGGCTAATATTAGCCCCATCTTGGGCACAGGCAAAAGCTTCTGCCCCAGTACAGGCTTCCCTGGAGAGACCCCAGGTAGCTCAGAGTGTGGGGAGCAGCAGGAACTCTCGAAGGACCTACATCATGTTGCAGTAGGCATGGGAATGTCATTACCAAAGACTGGACTAAAGCCAGGGGATAAGCCCTGTCTCACATCGACCCCTAAGTCTGAATCCATCCAAAGGGACTGTAGCTGGCAGGAAAGACAGAAGCAGGAGAGTTTTTTCATCTGATTGGACTCATGGTGAAGTAAGACTGTAGACCAGCAAACCAAGTAGTTCATCAAGGTGTCATATAATAAGAGAACTGGTCTGGGGTTTACACAACCCCCACTTCTGGCACTGTCCTTGGGCAAGTGACTTCTGTCTGCATCTCCATTGCATAGCTGAAAAATGAGGGAATGGGATCAGATGATGTGTAAGTTCTCCATCTGTACACTACATCCCACACATAGTCATATACTACTGTGTCCTCTCTAATGTATGCGAGGAGGAGAAAAGACTCCCAGTAAGAATTGCATTTTGTGAACTGTGTTATCACTTTTTCATCTTGTTGCTGTGGCTTCTAGGGAACTCAAAGATAAAACCCAGAATCCTGTTTTATTGTAGGTTCTTCTTAGCTAGATTTGCTTCTCCTGACACCAAGTCTTTATTAATGTCTCTCCTTGGAAGGAAGATTGGGCAATCTACTTCCATAGAGATACCACCTTGGAAACCCAAGGGTCGCTATGAGTTGGACCTGGCTCAACAGCAGTGAGTTTGGTTTTTTGGGGTTTTTTTTGTTTTGTTTTGTTTTGGTTATTCAGAGATGTATTCTCATTATTTTATGAAATCTCAAGGTAACATAATTCAAATCGTTTCTGAAGTTGAGAACTTTAAACTTGTTATCATCCACATAAATGAGACTGAAAATGCAGATGTCATTCTGAGATTCCCATGCCACTTTGGCAAAGGCAAAATGATACTTTTCTTTTAAATTCTTGCCCCCCTTTACCAGAAGCCAGTTAGTGGTTCTTTGTCAGTTCCCTTCTCTCTGCTACTATTTTCACTGCATTTCTTTTATCTCCAAACTGCTCCCCACTTAATGTGGTGGGAGATACTATTGGTGATTTAATTCATCCTACAAGAAGGAGCTGTGGTAGCGTAGTGCCTAAGGCACTTGACTGCTAACCAGAAGGCTGGAGGTTCAAACCCGCCAGCCACTCCTTGGAAGGAAGGTTGGGCAATCTACTTCTGTAGTGATACTACCTCAGAAACCCAAGGAGGGGTCGCTATGAGTTGTGTCCGACTCGATGGCACATAACAACAATAACACAAGAAGGAAAGTAAACGACCCCCTCCTCTTGTGCTCTATTTCTAACTCTTCACCTTAAAGTTTTTCTATGTGGGTGGGTATTTGCTTCATTTCCTTAAACGTCCTTTGTAGCTTGTTATGGAAGCCCAATCATAAACTAAGAGAAAGGCCTTCAACATATGGAGGGCTGGGTGCTGTTTGTCAATGGTACTTGTTACCCTCTCCCATCGCCTCTGGGTTTGGAGACATATTACAGACCTAACGAGCCCTGTGGTTCAGTGCTTAGCTGCTAGCTAAAAGGTCAGTAGTTTGAACCCACCAGCAACTCTATGGGACAAAAATGTGATAGTCTGCTTCTGTAAAGATTATGTATAAAGAGGCAGATCTACTCTGGGCTATAGGGTCACTATGAGTCAGAATTCACTCTTCGGCAACGGGTTTGGTTTGGAAGGAGGGGGCATAGGGTAATTTAGTTTAGTGCATGCTAAGAGCACATGCAAACATTTTCTGCAGTAAGCCTTCAGACTATCAGTACCCCCAATATGCAGCCAGTCAGGATAGTAAATGGATGGCAAAGTACTTCTGTGCACTAGGTTAATGGAGAGCAAAGGCAGTTCACTAACAGAATAAACTCTTTCAGTACTTACTGTACTATTGCAGTATATCAGTTCCTCCTCCATCTCTCAGCAAGCTAGGAACTTGAAACTCTTCCTTGGTTCCTAATTGATGCCCTACCCCACTTTCTACCCCATGTGCTTCTAAGGGATGATGCTTAGAAGCCTTCTCTGGCCTCCTACCCCTTCTATACCCCCTTGACCTCTGTCCCAGGCTGTATTCCATGGCATACCACTGTGATTCTTTGCTTTATAGTGATGTCTTGCTCAATTGAAATGGCAGTCCCCTGAGGGCTAATTAAATAAGAAAAAAACCAAACCCACTGCCATCGAGTCAATTCCAACTCATAGTGACTCCCATTGGGTTTCTGTGGCTATAAATCTTCATGGAAATAGATCGCCTCACCTTCCTCCCTTGGAGCAACTGGTGAGATTGAATCACCAACCTTTTGGTTAGGTTAGCATCCAAATGTCTTACCCACTATGCCTAATTAAGGGATGCAATTTTGACTTTGAGCTCTGTAATGCCAGTGTGCAGCACAGTGCCTGGCATAAGGTTGTTGTTGTTGTTGTTGTTATGTGCTGTCGAGTCGGACCTGACTCATAGCGACCCCTTCTTGGGTTTCCAAGGCAGTATCACTACAGAAGTAGATTGCCCCAAGGTAGGCTCTGGGAAATTAGAAGATGAATTAATTAATTAGTGACCGGTTCAGTCATTAATTGTGGTTTTAGTGCTTATCTTGTTAAAAGGCATTTGTGTCACAGAGAAAAGTCAAAGATGGGCTTCAGGGAATTCTCATTTTCAGATTTTCTAACCCTAGAACATAGTGTCTAAGGCATTTGACTGCTAACCAGAAGGCTGGCGGTTCACACCCACCAGCCACTCTTGGAAGGAAGACTGGGCAATCTACTTCTGTAGAGATACCACCTCAGAAACTGAAGGAGGGGTCACTATGAGTCAGAACCAACTTGACAGCAGTGAGTTTGGTTTTCTTGGATTTTTAGAACAGGCTAAAAAGCTGGAAATTCTTATTCACTTAGGAAATACTTATTGAGTACATCAGGCACAAAGTCCATAGAAATCACAAAATCTGTACTTGTCATCATAGACCAGCATGGGCCTCTTGCATGGCCCTCTTTATTTCCATGAATCCAGAAAGTGCATCCCTCAGTAGTGAAAAGGATAGGAAAAATACAAATGCTTATTAGAAAGGACTAATAAGTGGTGACTTTAAAAAAAAAGAAAAGGAATGCTTATTGAGTATTACTGAATTCTAGGCACTAGGACTACAAAGCTATACACAAGGAAACTCACTATGTGCTCCTTGACACTCAGCAGGGGAGTGAGTCCATACCTTAGAGTCCCTCTGAGACTGGGCTGCAGGAACTTGCAGTTCTGCTTAGCAAGAAGGGCATCTTTTTGCTGTCTTTAGGGACCAAAAGACTGTCCTGTAGCAAAGAGATGTGATTTTCTGCCTTCCTGACCTCATTAGAAACACATTGTTGTTGTTGTTGTTGTTGTTGTTGTTGTTTGCCATCGAGTTGGCCCTGACTCACAGTGACCCCCTCCTTGGGTTTCCGAGGCAGTATCACTACGGAAGTAGGAATGCCCAACCTTCCTTCCGAGGAGTGGCTGGTGGGTTTGAACCGCCAGCCTACTGGTTAGCAGTCAAGTGCCTTAGCCACTATGCTACCAGAGCTCCTAGAAACACATTAGGGCTCAAAAAAGATCTTTAAGACCAAGTTTTACAAACATGAGCAGGCCATCTTAGGATTCAGGAGTTAGACTGCATTGTTGTTGTTGTTGTCGTTGTTATGTGCCGTCGAGTCAGCCCCGACTCATAGAGACCCCTCCTTGGGTTTCCGAGGCAGTATCACTACGGAAGTAGGATTGCCCAACCTTCCTTCCATCGGAGATGTTCAAACAAAGCCTGCAAGCCACTTAGCAAAAAGACTGAGAAAATTCAAGGACAAAGTGCAACTCTGACTTTTAAGGTCCTGATGCTGTAAGTCAGATAGCTGTGCATAAGCAGGGCACGGGGGGAAGAGGTTAGGAAAATTAATGCCTGTTTTGCAAAATGCTCATTCATTGAGGGGAAGAGTAGCAGAGAATCAAAACCAGTGCATAGAAAGGACCTATAATAATGTAGTCTGTCTCCTGCCCTCACTGAGCCTCCACCTGAACCAGTCAGGTTTCGGAGTTATCCAGGATATCATGCCTACCCAAGCCCAACCAGAGTTTCTAGCGCGTAATGTGACACTTCACCCCAAAAGACCTCAGACCTCAGACCTCAGCCAGGTGGAAGGAGGACATGGGGAACAACCAGCAACTCTGCTGAGTGCCCAGAACAGAAGAGGAGTCTTCTTTGGGCCAGGGTTTTGGGTCTTTCCCCTCTATGCCAAAGTCACCAGTGCCTGAATGCTCATTTGTTATCTTGAGGACATGGTTATTAGAACATTCTGTTACTACCCCTCATTTGAATCTTTGTGGTCACGACCCTTGAAGCATAAATTTGGCCTTTGGAGACAGCATTGTTAACATCCTACAGCCAGAGACCGCGGGCAACACACCTGTAGTTAAACAAGTTGAGTTTATGACTCCTGGCAGTGAGAGAGAACCCACACTATGGGAAAGTATGGCTTCAGTGTGTGATTTGAATTGTAACAAACAGTTACAGTTTTATAACACAAAACAGTTACAGTTTTCTAACAAAAAAAAATATGTGTTTCAAATCCTAATCTCTATGCCTGTGGTTAGAATCCCATTTGGGAATGGGTTGTCTTTGTCATGGTAATGAGACAAGATTAGTGTAGAGTGTATTTTGAGTCAATCTCTCTTGAGATATAAAAGAGAGTAGATACAAGCTAGCAAGCAGAGATAAGGGGAGAGGGAAAGCCACATGAAGATTGCCTAGGAGAAGAAGTTCAAAAGAAACAAGGACCTTCCTCCAGAGCCAACAGAGACAGCCTTCCCCTAGAGCTGGAACCTTGAATTTGGAGCTCTGGTAGTGTAGTGCCCAAGGCACTTGATTGCTAACCAGAAGGCTGGGGGTTCAAACCCACCAGCCACTCCTTGGAAGGAAGATAAGGCAATCTACTTGTGTAGTGATACTGCCTCAGAAACCCAAGGAGGGGTCAGTATGAGTCAGGTCCGACTCGAGGGCACATAACAAGCCTCCTAAACCGTGAGAAATAAGAGTTCTGGTGTTGTTAAAGTACTTGCCTGCTAACCAAAATGTCGATGGTTTGACCCCAATAGCCACTTCCCAGAAGAAAGACAAGGCAGTCTGCTTCCGTAAAGATTTACAGCCTTGGAAACCCAATGG